AATTTCCATAAATATTGAAAGGTATTTAAATTAGTTGGGAAAATACCTTCCTTTTTTGATTGGTTTAATGGCTTAAGTGGCTTAAACATTTCACATAAACCAGATAGAATAGATATTTTGTATTAATTTGATAAAAAGAAACGGAATTTCAATCTGTGGATTATGTATGATTTGTATAGAAAATACAAATATATAAGCCTCTCAGATATTTTTTCTTACAATCTTCTCCTGAAGGTCAGGGTGAAGCGCACTCGAAGAAAATCCGTGCCACGAACTCGAAAGTAAATGAAGGTTTTGCCCGCTCGGACTCTGATATTTTCAGCATGTGGTCGGCATAAAGTTTTACAAGTTTAATTATGCAGACAGCCAGCTGAATGCAGACAATGAAGGACGTCGTCCAGGTCGAGGTCCATGTCCATGTCCATGGCCAGGTCTTGGTCTGCGTCCAGGCGGCTCTTCCGTAGATGGCCAATTAAAAATTGTAAATTTATATATATACTATATATAGAGTACTTCGGGCGGATCCAACAAAAGATGAAATCCCTGCCCTGATGTGCGCTCCTTAAAATAAATTTCGTAATTTATGAAAGTGTTAATTGCATTCAGTACCATGGCGCTGGCGATGACGATGACGATGACGTTGACGGGTACGATGATGCAACAAAAGGGGAGATTCCTTCTCATTAACAGCACAAACCGTGGGCAAATTAAAGGCCTCTCAGCCTATTTTCGCTGTCATCGGGCTCCTTCTTCCGGGCCGCATCCCCTTGCTTTTCACATACAATTAAAAAGTCAACACCTTACATTGAACTCGCACACACACACACACATACATATAAAGGGGCTAATGGCTTGGGGGCGAACCACCTTCGTGAGGGACACCTTTCCAAGGAAACAAAAAAGTAGCACGCTGTGAAAATTTTCACAGTAATTAGCAAAGTTTTACGCCTAAAAACAAAGGACATCCGCTGCTCTTTTTTTGTATGTGTCTGGTGGGGGGCTCTAATGAAAGACGACCCTCCTCCACCCAAGTAAATGATAGCCTAAATATGTATAGTGGGTCCCAGTCCCGGTCCCAGCATCGCCATCGCCATCACCAACACCATCGGCAGCATAATCCAATTAATTCTAAAGAACTTTTGGGGGGAGATATATTTGCATAGCTTTGATATGAGTGGCTCAGAGGGATACGTGCAAGAATACGAGCATGTGGGATAATCACAGCCATTTCAGAGTTTTACAATATTTCGCCCTGAAAGTCACTCAGTCAAAATGATTTTTTTTCAAAAGTCACTCAGTCAAAATGATTGCCTAGATGGAAATGAATTCATTCCATTGTACCAATGCGAATACGAATACGAGTACTGACAGAGGCAGAGGCAAAGGCAGAAGCACTTGAAAAGTATTATTCATTCAGTGAGGCGACACCTCTGGCAATATTTCAATTATATGTATAAGGCAGCTCGCACTTTCGCCGCTACGCTTCAAAGCCACAACTTTCAGAATGAATAAATTGCTCAGCAGCCGACAAAAGGACACGGCACACAAAAAAATCTCCTGGCCCACACAAGTATGCAATGAAATTCATTTATTTACGCCTACGATCCTGCAAACACAACAAAAGCCCACAAAAAAATGCCAGAATATAACAAATTAGCATTGAAATGGATACCAAAATGAAATGGCAACGAATTTTTCATACAATCGGTAAGTTTTTATCGCCCTGGACTTGAGTCCAGGTGTGTCCTGCCACAGGACCCTCCATCAGAGGGCAACCATCACAAATCAGAGAGAATGTTTATGCATGCGGCCAACAGACCAGAGCAGACCAGAGCAGAGCTGAGCAGAGCAGAGAAAAATTTCATAAAAATTAAATTGTGCATTCGTGCATATTTGTACGCTGGAATTATGACACAATATGCGACGACGCTGTAATAAATGTTGAGGGCAGACAAAGAACAGTCAAGAGCTGTGCAGCACAGTGCCAGTATGCAGGGTAGAAATATGGATAGGAACGGTGGACTCGCAGAATGCGTTGCCAGTTGCCATGGCAGGCTAAAAACCAACTCTGGCAAAACAATTTATACACGTGCAAGCTGCAAAAGGTGCAGACGAGCTCATAAATTGCCCCAGCTCCAGCTCCAGCCCCAGCCCCAGATGATGGGGATGCTACAAATGGGACTGAGAATAGGTTCCGTTCCCCTTAAAGCCTTTAAGGTCTGAAGTCGTTTGCAGCTCCATCTCCCGCTTGCGCGCTTGGCGTCTGTTTTGTGGGTTTTGCTCATGCAAATGATCAAAATAATTACATGTGGCGCAGCGTTTTTTTCGCTCGTTCTCCTCTCCTCTCCAGTCTTCTCGTGTTTTTTTTTCCTTTTTCCGCTCGCACACAAAAGACAAGCGCAGTTGCAACTTCAAAATGATGAAAATGAGTTTTCTTTACAAACAAAATTAAAAGTAAAAGGAAGGAGGAAGGAGAGAAAATTGCACACCAAATTCAACGATGTGCAAAGTTATTTTTCACAAGTGCTTTGCAGCCTTCCCAGCAGAACCCATCGCACCCGTCCTACACTCCCACACTCCCACACTCCGACCACCTCTTTTCCATTGCACTGTCGCCTGCATGTGGATGTGGCCATGTGGTTGTGTGGATTTCCGTTAACTTATGGTTAGCACTGTGTGTGTGTTGGCCCCGTCCTCCGCTCAGTCCCGCCCTGGCCCGCTTTACCCAGCATATTCCTATTTTTATGCTGTGCAAATGACAGCAATTTTTCATAGGGCAAAGCGCTTGCAAAACTCCCCTTAGTACCCAGACTACAGATCCTTCTCTATCACTCCCACCCTCCCAGCGCTGCTACACTCTCCCGCTGGTGTTCTCCCTGCGAGGTGCCAAGTGACAATAATTTTGTCTTTCCATCCGGAGAGCGGCTGAGCGACACAAGCCAGACCCATGGCAGTCCTCTGTCGAGGCTTTTGTTTCGCTGTCACTGCCTAATTGCCAAGATTTTGCTCTGCTTGGTAGACCGAATAACCCCAGCTCAACTTCGAAGCCCCAGACCCAAACCCCAAACCCCAAAACCCAAGCCCAGCCTTAAAGAGCAACTGCACTTCATATATATTACACATACGCTCTGTGGCAGGGCGTCAGGAATTCAAATTAGATGCATGGATAATCTGTAACCGTAAATTAGTATAAGCTCTGCTAGATCTTTCCATTACCCCTGCAATCCATCGTTACCAATTGGAAATCAACTACCATTAAGCTACTTCAGTTTATACGAAAGAATACGATTTTCCCCTGCTTATCCAGACAGATCGTTGAACCCCAACTAAATGCAAGAACACATCACATTAAAGCTTCAACTACGGGGCCAACCAACACCAGCACCAGCACCAGTACCAGTACGAGTATTTTTATGGAATCATCAAAATCAGACGCACGACAAGGACAAGTCGAACGCTTAAACCGTTCTCATACAAACTACTCATAACTGTTTGGGTTGCTGTGAAAATATCAATAAAGAAAACTAATGAAGTGCGCGCTGCCTTAAGTGGCTTATTGTCACTTTGACACACACCCACACCAAACACAAAGTACTTGCACGACTGTGTGTGTGTGTAGTATCTTCATGATTGTGTGTGGGTAATGTCAAAGGGCAGACGCACGTCGAGAGTTCAAGAGGAAGGCAATCGAGGCGGATAGCCCGCTGTGTGTGCGCTGTGTGTCCCTCTTTGTGTCGCGTCGCATCATAAAATCCGCACTTATTACTCCTTTTATGCAACTAAATAAGTATGTACACAAAAGTAAATAGCCATGAGTGTGTATATAACTATATGTGTGTTGGTGTGTGTGTGGCTATTTACTTTCATTTAACGCTTGCCCGAGTGCCCAGTGTCGCTGGCTGCACCGAGAAAAAAGGATGATTAAGGGATTATTATTATAGTTTCTTAAGTTCCCCAATGTCAGTTACATACATATACTTAATTTTACTTTCTTTTCGAACACTCATGAAACATTCATGGGATATTTAAATCGCAAAACTATGAGATCTAAGTGAAATCTGTATTTTTTTCTGAGTGTTGCATCCTCTTATGTTTTTGGCTATTAGCAGCCAGGGCAGGGCATCCAAGCCAAAGACTCGTCGAATATCCTTCGGTGTCAAGTGGAGCGCTCCATTGTCCCAGTCGTTGGTCTCCGTGCTGGTCCTTCCACTCAAGGACTCATATATTGGACGGCCAAGTGCTGGCAAAATATTTACGCAACGTCATTGACTGAGTAAATGCAATTCATTGGACTCATAAATTGCAAATCGTTACGGGAAAATACTGCAAATAATTAAGAAAAGCAAAGGATATATTGTGTTTTTGTAAAGACCAGAGCTTTTTATAACTTAAGCAAGCTTACACAGCTTTCATAGTCGTGGTTCAAAGTTCGAGAAAGAAAATCTAAGAAAGCTCATGCAGAAGCCCCCTACAGGTGGCGCTTGATAGCTTTCGAGAACTTGAAAATACGATTTCCTGAAGGATTTCCTCCAAGCAACTAAACAAATGTATATTCTAATGTTTCTCCATCTCTTTCTCAATTATGATTACCTTTATTACATTTCCCGCCGACAATTTCCTCTTCCTGAATAAAACAAAACCTCTTCAGCAGTTATTACGCTTAATTTGAAAACATTTAATTACCATAAATTATATTTTTGTATAATTACATTTTCTGCTTTATTGTTACATTTATATCGTACTGTATTGTATTGTATATTGTATAGTATGCATCATGCATTATGCTTAGTAAAATCACGCAAAAATGTATCATTAAAAATTGATGCCTTTACTTCTGTAACCTCATAATAAAGTGAGGGAGGCAGGGAGCCATATCATGTCGGGGGTTTTAGGGGTAAATGTATCTCTTTCTGTGCCGGCTATTGTTGCAATTAAAGTTGGGCAGTTAATTGTTGTTTTTTTGTTTTTGTTTTTTTTTTTGTTTTTATGTTGATTTAATTAAAATTATGAACTCGCTTAGTTGGCATTAAATAACAAATAAAAAAAAAAGTTCTACATGCGATTTATAAAAAAGTTCATTCTTTCATTGTGTGGTTTTTCGTTTATGTTTTCTGGGTTGTTCTTCTTTTCTCTGGGTGTATACACTTAGCAAAAATATGCATTACAAACTATTAGCAGTGTTGCCCTCAAGCGGGCCGGGGGGAGACGGGTGTGCAGAAGGACGAGTAGGCGTGGTGTACACATTTATAAACTAAGAATATCATTCGAATTCGCAGCGAGATGCGAGGCGGATGGGCTCGTAATCCCAAACAAAGCCAAGGAATATGTCACCCATCCATCTCTATGTCTCCCCTTTTAGTACCTAAACTGTCCCTTCTTCCCCCTCTCGTTGTGGTAGACCCTCAGAGGAGAATAGCTGCCATTCCCATTGCCATTGAGGGAGGCACCAGCGCCGGCCCCATTGCCCGCTCCATTGCCATTGCTGGCCCCATTCCCGGGAGAGGTGGCGCCTAGATTCTGGGAGGCTGAGCCCGAGATGAGCTCCTCGGAGTGCTGCGGCTTGGCGGTGCAGCGCGGGGCGAGTATCAGGTTGTAGATCACAAAGTAGATCAGAGCCACGATGCAAGCGACAATGGCCAGCCATTGGTAGGTGCATTGCCAGGCCTCCAGCTTGGGATTCTTCTCATCGCGCGCCAATCCAATCAGAGCACCAAAGCCCTTGCCTGCAAGAACAAAATAACAAAATAGAAACTCTCGAATTATTCAAATTCTTCCAAAACTCACCCAATCCGAAGAATGCCAGCACAGCGATGGCCTGTCCAGTGGCGGTCAGTTTCCTGGGCATGGCATGACGCATATACAGAATGATCGTGATCCAAATCAGGCCAATGACGGCCGGTTCTATGGCCTCCATGACAACGGTCAGCCACTGGGTCTGGGCATCGCTCAGGGCCGTGAAACGGATCACGTAGATGGCCAATCCAGCAATGAATATGTTCGAGTGTCCGCAGTACTCGATGAACTTGTCCACATTGAAGAAGAGCACCAGCACGAGGACCAGGCCGGAGTAGCACACAGCATCCACATCGGAGAAGGTCCAGCGCAGGAAGCTGTGGATGCTGCTCCAGAAAGTACCAAACAGAATGGACACCAGGGTGAGCACCACGATCTCGGGGCTATAGCGACGAATGGCAGACATGGGCACCACCAGCATGCCGGTCTTGGTGTGCCACCACCACTCGGGCGGACTCAGCGGCATCTGCGAGGCACAGAGCAGGACAACGGCGCCCAGGACAAAGCACACGATGAATATGATCAGGGCAACCAGAGCTGCATCCTGATTAGGCTCCTGCTGGAAGAAGAACAGATCCAGCGGCGAGAAGAGCAGCACATACCCAATGGCACCCCACACATACTGGCGGCAGACCTCCCCACGTCCCTCGGAGGTCTCACGTACCGCAATCACGATGGCGGTGTTCAGCAGGGTGAGGGCAGCCATGCAGAAGATGTCGCCCAGCAGGCGGATTATGGTGTAACCCACCAGGGTATCCTGAACACTGCCAGTGGTCTGGCGAAAGATTGAAAATTCCAATTAAAAAAGATGATCTGAGAGGGAGTACATGGCTCCGACTTACATTCACACACTCACTGTTCGAGAGTACGCTCTCGTCGTGGTAAGGATTCACCACCAGGCACTCAACCATGGGCTTGCAGTTGGTGCCGTTCTTCAAGTCCTTCATGTAGTTCACCTGCTCTTCGGGTATGTGGCACTGGAAGCCCTCTGGGGATGGATTATTGAGAGATACTCTCGTATTACAATTCCGAATTGTAATCAAACATTTCAGCAAAGACTCACCCAATGGATACTGACACCATCCCTCGTAGTCGTCGTTCTTCTCCTCCTGACTGATCGCAGAGCCCATTACGGCCTGCATCACAACACTAGTCGTGTCCTCGGTGTACGCATGGCAGCGATTGACCACGTTCTGGCCCAGAGAATTGCGCTGCGTGATGCAGAGATGCGGAGGCTGGACGTAGACCTTCTTGGGTGGTGTCTTCGTCTGTCGAATCGACCGACGGGCCGCCTCGGCACTGACCAACTCAATGCCGGCACTGTCGGCGGGATCGGGGTCCACAGAGTCCACCACTTCCCGTTTGGAGCGCAGGCTCTCGGTGACGGCACTGGTCGCGTCATCGTCGTACTCGAACTCTGAACTCTGCTCCGTGGAGGGGGCCAGGGTGGGGACCTCCGCCAGCCACACCTGGTACATGTTCTCGTAGTGCTTGGGGTTCTGGCAGCTGTAGGTGCAGCGCGTCAGGTTGATGCTGCCCTCCTTCTGGTCCCACTGGCTGCAGCTGGCATTGGCGCCACACCGCTCCTGGAACAGAAAGGCGCCGCTGGCATCGCAGCCGAAGCTGACCTGCGGCTGGTGGGCATCCGACCGGCTGACCTCGGGAATGGCAAACAGGAAGGCGTAGATCAGAGCGGGTATCAGCAGGAAGATGGCAGTCAGCACTCGCAGAGTGCGGCCAAAGGTATTGGGATTCCGGGCAGCCAAACGATCGGCCCAGGGACCAGCAATCAATGGACCCAAAATGGACACAAAGGGTGCGATGATGCTGATGGTGCGATACTCGGAGAAGTTCAGCCCCAGAAGCAGCGGCTTGGTGGCATGCAGCACATGCAATGCTGTCAATCCTGAAAGGTGGAGCACAAATCTTTAGTCTCAAGAAAAGTCCAAGACCAAAGTCGTCTTCTGGTACTCACCGCTGATCACGAAGAATACGACAAACTTGAGCGAAATCAACGTCTTGTTGACACGCGGCTTGCGATCGGCAATGAAACCCATTTCCTCGATTCGGGTTACTACAAACTATCTATGTATAATCTCTCTAATTAAGCCACCTTTTCGGAGGGTTTCGTTTCGTTTCGTATCCGCTTCTCTCTATTCGTTGGCGCGCAGTCCGCTGCTCATGTTAGACGACGACTCGATGGGTTCTGTAAGAAAGGCAAGCCAGAAAGATGGTTATCATCTCTGTGATGCAAAACGGAGGCAAGACACTGGAAACACAAGCACCACACGCAACCACAAAAGTCACAGCCACCAGACACACACCCAGTAAGCCATACCAAGTGCAACCACAGCCGCAAGCATTCCCCTCCACTCCACTCCACTCCACCTCTGTTCGTATGGAGCTGTCAGAGAGATGGTTAAAACTACTTATGCACCCTATAATCTACTGTATGTCCAATTAGGGGATAACAGAAACCAATCAAACCATTTGATGCCACCCATTGATGATAATCGGCATTGTCAATGAACCAAACAGGCAAACAAAACATGTTGAAAAGCGTTTGAGAGTGCCAGAGCCCTCCTCATAAATATAGATGGATATATGCATGTGTGTGTGCATTGGGTATACTATTTGTATGCTCCACACAATGGGGTGTCAAAAATAAACAAGTGTCAATAGGCAATAGGCCGCACACACAAACGGCAGCCACGCGGAGCTCCACCAAAATAACACAATAATTGAACGAAATACCAAGGGGCCAGAGAAGAGGTTCATGGGTCGAACATTTGAATACCCTAAGCTACTCTACTCTATTATTCGAAAGAGAGTGTGATCCGATCTTGGAAGATCCGTCTTCTGGCAGCCACGAGAGGTGTCTTTGCTCCAAAGATCCTCCATTCTCTAATGGTTGCAGACACCTGCTTTCAATCGCAATACCAATTCTATAGGGTACTACTAGAGACGGACAACAAGCAATTACATTCACGTATAATGAAATACATACAGCAACTGCCCTAGACATCAATTTAAATTAAATTGTCAATGAAACGCATGTAGCTTTAATCATCAGTTAACTATATAGGCTGGCGATTATGATAAGAATTGTGTGGGGAGTGTGTTGAGGAGGCAAAAGAGGAGACTTGGAGACTTGGGGACTTGGAGACTTGGGCTTAATGCAACCACTAGACAGTGCATTAAACCCACTCGACAAGTAAATTGCTTTATAATAACTAAAATGCATGTGTCGAGGCGGAATGAAGATGAAGCTGCCCCGTTCGTTGTCTGAGTTGCAATTTGCAAGATGATGCCTAAAGTGGTGCCCAAAGAAGTGCTCAAGTTTGACAATGATACTGAAAAGGAAAGGGCAAATGAAAGTGCGCCACCATGGCCATATTTTGCTTGTTGCGGCGGCACTTTTCCAGCTGCGCAGCAGAGAGGGTATATTGAAAACAAGAAACAAGATCTTAAGTATTTTATTAAGGGGTACTACAAGTGCAAGAGGGTATATTGAGTGTGTGTAATTGAGGTGGAGGTGTCTCACAACGCTTCTAAGAGTATTTATATAGGGCTATTATCCATGTATCTACGATGATACATGATACAGATTGTAGGATATTCAAATGAAAGCCCTTGCCACAATGTTTCCCTCTGTTTTCGGCTCAATTTAGGGTACCTTTTAGTCGAAATAGAAACCCTAGCACTCGTATTCGTTGTATTTGCTGTTGTTTGCTGTTGTCGGGTTTAGCCAAACCGGTTGTTTAAGTTGTCAGCCAAAGCAAATTACATCACCCCGAGCAGAAAGCGCAACATTTAACCGACTCTGCGTGTGATCTACGCCCCCTAACCCCAGTCGCAAGCCCAAGCCAAAGCCCAACCCAACGCCATAGACAAGGCCAGACCATGAGGCAGATGGGCAGATGGGCAGACATCTGCAAGATCTCAGCAGCAACAGCAACAGCAACACCACCAGATAATTGAACAGCTCTTCCAGGCAATTGCCTACAGCTGGTCCATGCCAGCGAATGAATGAATCAACCTCAAGGTCTGATTAGCCCAAAATTTATACACTGCTTAAGTTTAAATGCTACACTGCCACTAGGAGCCCATCAATAGGGTCTGCTAACGGCCTTGTCAAAGGTCAAGCACGAAACTAAACAAAATAAAAATCGAAAAATCGACAAGTAAACAGAACACTTGGAGGCTACACCAATGACTCATTTCGAAACACTATAGTCTTATCTCCACAATAAACTAAAAACTGACAAATGTGACGCCCCACGAATACAAATCTGTGGGGATACATATAGTAGAGTAGGGATCGGATCCCAAACAAATGTGTTATCAGTGGGGATGGCTGCAACAAATTGCTGGTACGAGCCTAACAAAAATATAGTAAAGTTTATGGCTGCTGGGGGCTTATCTCGCCATCAGCATCAGCATCGGCATCAGCATTGAAATTGGATAGACCAGAGCTACGGTTATACATATAGCAAAAAGGTCAGATCGCTGAACAAAAGCCAAAAAACTGGCGGCAATGCATGACGTAAGCCGGCAATAACAGCAACAATAAGAGAGCGACTATAAAAACTGTCGCTGGGCTTGAGACCAAAATTCAAATTAGTAACCAGCGAACAGCAAAAAAAATGGAGCTTCAGTTTCAACTTAATGACAAAACGCCTCGCACGCACACACCCCGAAAAGCGTTAAATCCAATAGAAAAAAAAAACAAACCACCAAAATCCAAGCCGGGATCCACACACACACACACACACGAACACACACCCTGGACGCACACACCATGGACTGCCTCTGATTGCCCCACATGGGCATTGTCTATGACACAGTGCGCTTATTTATGACCTAAGGTAAACTTTTGCCGGCGCTAGCCACCAAAATGGCTGACATTTTCTATTGCGTGCCACCGATGGGACATAAAGGGGGAGACCTGGAGACCAAATGGCACTGCCACCCGGCAAAAACAAGCCCCAACGGGGGCCTCCAACGTTTGACAATTAACTATGATGTATAATAGTAAATGTACGGGAACAGACAGCCCAGCCGAGTGCAATTAAGGAAATGCCAACATACTTTTGCGATTGAAAAGGAAACGGAAATGTCGAAAGGGAATTAAGAAAAGTTGTGGGCTTAAGCAAGAGTATTTTGAAGAAAAGCTATAATAAAACTCGAAGAAACTAAAAATATATTTGAAAATATTTTGGCACCCTGTTGTATATACTATATTCTAGAATTTACAAGATTATGTTCTGCCCCTACCACCCACGCAACTGTTGAAAACTTTTAAAAATACCTAAATAAATTAATTACTTCTATAAACTAATGGAAAAACTATATCCGTTCCCCAACCGATATCATTCTCGACCGCTTTGCCGCCTGTACTAATGTAGCTGACGTTTCTTTTCAGTTTTCGCCACACGCTCGCCTGCAACTTTTCCGCTTGGGTGCCACTCTTTCTCTGTGCCTCTGTGGCATGTTTGGGAATGAAAATTACTGCGGGGCACTACTGTGAGAACTCTGCTGGCTGCTGATGGCGTCGCCACCGTGGCGGTAATTATGTATGTACCTAGGTATGTGTGTATGAAGAGTATGCGAGGCAGCCCAGGCAGCCCCAAAATAGAAATTTAATTACAACAAACGACAATTGCTGCCGCGAACAGCAAGAGGTCTGCTCTGCCTTTGGGGTGACCCGTGGGCTGGCTACCTATGGCGATTGTTTATCAGAGGTCCCTCTGTAAATCACTTTGTAAAAGTCAATTAGTGATAAGGCCAAAGCCGAAATCATAGCGTGTGTGTGAGGTAATATATTCGTATCTTGTCGATGCCTGGTGCAAATTCTATTTGTTAGCTTTTGCATTTGTTTGTTTATTCACTCGGTTCGGTGTTTGCCCAAGGCCTGTCTGCTGCCACTATGTTGCCAAAGATCTCTTAGCACCTTATTTTTTTGTAGGTAGCAGCCGGAGCCTCTCTCTTCGAGTATCTCTAGAGATTGTTGCGCTTTGCTGCGCCTGTGCACCGATGTGGTTGGACCCCGATTCTCATTGTGGGTCAATTGCTTTTATTTTCGGGCGGCGGGGGGACATGGGCTGGGGCCTGGGTTTGGGTTTGCGATCAGACAGCGCGGCGCATGACAGGCCGCTCGCTTAATTATGCGTAACACGACGACAGCACCGAGCGGCATTCAATAGGAAAATGGAAAAATAGAAAAGCCGCAACAAAGGCCGCTGCCTGCATTTGGTTAAACTCATGAATGACTGCCACTGCTCTCTGGCCACTCTGTTCGCTCTGTCCGCTCTGTACGCTCTGGCTGGCTCTCTATGAGCGGCTTAATTAACATTTAAAATGCATAAATTGTGCGACCGTTCGAACTGTGTCAGCAATTTGGCTCCGCACATGGGCGGGCAACGGCTTACGTGGGCTGTCTGCCCAAGCAAGTGCCGTCAAGGCATGGAAGGGTGCAGTGTCGCCCAATGAAAGTGAGAGACTGACTGGAAATCAAAAGGAATTCCAATGAGGATGAGGCTGAGGCTGCCACCTTCTACCTTCCCCGCAGCACTGCCCGGGGATAAAGTCAATGTACCCATTAATGGCCTCATAACGCCACATTACACATTTACATAAAATTTTCATTTCAGATTCGCGCAAGCGAAACAAAAACAAAACGTTAATTTCAATTCTAAACCAAATGGAAATTATTGCAAATTTCGTAGGCACCTTTTGACATTTACTGGGCCCCTAAGGCGGAGCAAACAGCCCTAGCCCCAGCAAGCCTATGGATAATGCCGCATGTAATTTCCGAATACGATCCGCAATTTCGATTCTGTTCGGAGCTGCCTTAAGCCGGCGACTCATACATAATTACGGATAAAGGTAAACCTTTCCACTTGCATACACTTTTGGCATTTTTCTTCGATTGCCTCATAAATTTGTACATTTAATTAGGGGGGAGGGGGGGAGCAGGTGGCGGGGCGAATTCTCCCTTTTTTACTGTTTGGAATTGTCAGCACGTAGCGTGATTCTGGTTTCGTTTTATTTATTACAATTGCATTGAAGCGACCCCTACACAAACAGACATACAGACGACCGATCCGGCGGAGTACCGTAACGCAAATCTATTGAGTAGGTGAATTATTGATGGATGTGTCGGCTTGGGAGGAGGAGAGTTTTAAGGTGAGGCGACATCGCACG